ACAGGCCCCGCCCCGACCGAGTCCCGGCCCCGCCCAGCCCCGGTACCGGCCCCGCCCCAGCCCCGGCCCATGCCCGGCGCGAGAGCCGGCGGAGGCGGTGACCGAGATGCTTTATTGGAAAAGTACAAAGTGGTTCCCGATTCGCGGTACCGGGCGCCGCTGCCCGGCCGCCGCCCAGGCCCAGCCTGGGCCCAGCCCCGGCCCTCGGGTGGGCGCAGCCCCGCCGCCCCGGCCCTCGGGGCCGCTCCTCGCCGCGCCCGCCTCAGCGCAGCGCGGTGGCTCCGAAGAGCTGCACCAGGTCCTCGTACTCGGGGTCGATGAGGTCCGAGGGCTTCTCCCCGTCGTCGGTGGTGGCCTCCAGGCTGGCGCCGAGGGACAGGAGGTACCTGCAGGACACGGGTCTGAGCCGGGCCGGGCATCCCCGGGCCCGCAGCCCCGGCGCCGGGAGCAGCACGGCCCGAACAGTCCCGGGGGCAGCGCAGGGACCGGGCACCGCCCGGGAGGAGCCGCCCAGACCCCGCTCCATCCCGGCGCTGTCGGTTCTGGGGCTCTGCAGCACCGGGGACCCTCGCAGCCCCTCACCTGGCTATGTCAGCGTAGCCATCGCTGCAGGCCATGTGCAGGGGCGTCCAGCCGTTCTCATCTCTCTGGTGGATGTCGGCGCCGTATTTCACCAGGAGCTTGACACAGTCCAGGTTTCCCGTCAGCACAGCCTCGTGAAGAGCTGCCATGCCTGGAGGGACAGGAGGTGTTAGCCCTGGCCTGGGGAGGGGTTCTCCATGCTGAGCTCACAAGTGCAGGTTGTGCACAGCCCAGGAAAGGGGTGCCAGGAAGCCTCCTGCTCAGGGAGAAGACTGTAGGGAAAGAAACAAAGACTGAGGAAACCAGAGGAGCTGCCACGGATTCCTCTTCCCCTTCTGCAACAAAAATACCCTGTCTGGGGCACCACTGCCCTGGCCAGACAGGACAGAGGGAGGGAGAAGGAGCTGCCCTGAGTCCTGGCTGAGACTCACACACAGACACAAGAAGTCTCTGGGGTCCTGCTTTGCCTGAGTTTCGGAAGGTCCTCACTAATTAAGAATCAGTATGGATGGGAGGAAGCCTGGGGTCATTTGAGCTGTCTGTGTGGCCATGTGACAGCAGAAGCTGAAGCCAAGCACAAGAAAAGGACAAATCTGGGCTCTGCACCAGCCCATATGGATCAAGGCATTCCATAAACAGTTGCTGTTGAGGTTGGGTGCAAACAGAACACAAAGCCTTCCCCATGAGTCCCCGGAGCCAGACATGCAAGAGGGAGCAGTGTTTGTGAGAAATGGGCAGAGCCAGGAACAAATGCAGAGCCTTTCCCCACTCTTCCTCAAGCTGGGGTGAAGACAGGAGGGGTCCTGCCCAGAGCTCACAGACCAGCCTGTGCTTGCTGCTGCTCTTTGAAGTCTCACCACACTGCAGGTGCTCTGTTGGACCTTGGAGGGACCTTGGGGCCAGCTCCCCCCTTCCCACAGTGTGCACTGACCGTGCTGTTGAGGGGAGATACTGGGGTCCTGGCTCTTGGGCCCTGCTGGGCCATGCTGAGGACACTGCTCCTCACTAGTGGAGGACCCAGCTCACTCCAGCTCTGCCAAAGGTGGCCCATGGCCTGGCTTCCATGTCCCTCGGGGCCCCACCAAGCTGTGCCACCACTGCCCCAGCTCTGCTGACCCCGGCAGCACTCACCAGAGGGGTAGATGGTGTCCAGCGTCACCTTCCTGGCTCGTATGAACCTGCCCACCTGTTCCAGGTCCCCCTGCTTGATGTGGTCCTGAAAGACGACGTCGTTGGGGAAGTGCACAGTGCGCGAGGCCCTCAGGCGCGGGGTGTACCGGCCATACCGGGGCACCGACACGGGGCAGTAGTCCCTCATGCTGGCAGCAGCCTTCAGGCACAGTGGCATAGGGGTTGCTTAGCGCTCGGCCCAGCTCCTTACTGCCCTGCTCTCTCTTCTGCCTGTCAGGGCTCTCCTTGCTTCGGAGCTGTGCTTTTCCCCACACTGCTGTGCTCCCGCCGTGTCCGTGTCCGTGTCCCCAGCCGGCACGTGTCCCCTCACCGCAGGGAAGTGACAGCCACCGTGCCCTCCTACACTCCCAAGCTGCATGCAGGAGGTGGCACCTGGCACTCACAGCTCACCCGCAGGCCCAGGACTGATGGTTCTCTGGGGGCACCGTGTTATAAAGGCTTCCCTGGGCTATTTTGGGGACATGCAGCTCATGCTATTTGCCATGATGCTTAGTAATTGAGCCGCCCAGGCCCACAGCCTCCCACTTTTGGGCAGAAGTTGGTGTCTCATCTTACACCCACCTGTTGATGTGCTCATCCAAGGGGTCAAATCTACTCTTGCATGGATAGGGGAGTTGCTTCAGGGGAGCCTGGAAGCAACTTCCCAGCAACAAGCCCTCCTGGGAGAAGGGACACAGGCACGATTGCCAACAGAGGGAACTGGCTGCTCATGTCCTGACCGGCCAGCGCAGTGTGGACATGCCAGGGCTGTGGTGCCAAATGCATTCAGAGCTGTTCACCCTTCTGTAGCTGCATGAGACAACTTGAAAGAAGCAGGAGGAGCAGCGCTGCCCAGCACGACTGCGACAGCGCACAGCCCAGCACGGAGACCGCGACCGGTGAATGAGGTGTCCCCTGTGCTCTAGTGAGGACAGAGGTACTGCTGATGCTCCCGAGGCAGATGCAGAACCAGAAGCCTGCACTGCTGGTCCCTGATGTTCCATGTCCTACTTCAGGCTGGGAAGCAGCTGCTGGTGAGGACAGACTGATTCGAGCAGCCTCAGAGGAACAGTGGAAGAACAGCACCACCACCAGACAATTCCTGCCTCCAGTACTCTCCAGCTACACTGTCACGGGCCCAAAACAGACCACCTGCCACAGAGGAATCACTCAGGTCCATCAAGCTTTCAAGCAACTACTGCTTTTACCCATTAAAATTTGGGCATGTCAGACATGAGCATTTTGTGCTCCGGGTTGTGCTGATGGGATTGTCCAGGCAGATGTGTCAGAAAAAATCCCTGTGCTGCTTTAGGAGTCAGAGATTTCACTCTGCCTCTCCTGCAGCAGACCCTTGCCTCAACCCCAGCAGTGTGGTGAGCCACACACCTGATAACTCCTGCCCTTGTTTATCTGCTGGCAAACATCGATCTCTTGGCCGACTGTCTGCTCGGGGTTACATCAGCCAGAACACGGCACTGGGGACAGAACACTTCCAGCCTGCTTTCTTGGAACAGCAATTAGCCACATACACGAGATGGCTGCTGAAGTCCTGCTCTGCCACAAGGTGCCTTGCACTAGGAGAAGAGCCCCCTCCTCTTAGCTGAGCACTGCAAGTCTCAGCCCAGGAACAGAAGAGAATCACTGCAGAGCTCAGAATTGGTTACACTTCAACTGGCTCCACAAAATGGACCTTTTTGAGCTGAGTCCTAGACAGCACCTTTCAGTGGAACTTCTTGATAGTGGGGCTCCTTTCCTCTCCACCCCAAAACATAAGGTAGCTGTCACCAACCAGCCCAGGGCACCAGCACTGCCTGCTCTGTTGGGGTGCAACACTGGCTGGGACCCTGCCTAGGAGGCTAGAGCTGGAGAAAGAGAGACAAGTGTTGTCCAACACCCCTGTGCCACTGCCTCGGCACACCCCTCCTCAGTGACAGGTACCAATAGCTCCCCCAGTTGCCCTCTAGCCTTACTGTGCCCTCCCTGTAACATTTATAGCGTGTTTTCAAACCAAAATACCTTCGGCAGCGAGCAGCATGTTTGGAAATAGCAGTGTGGCTCACAGGGTCATGTGAGCCCAGCTGGCAGAGCCACAGCAGCCCCAGCATGCCCTGGTTCACTTGTCCAGAGCAAGGTCCCCTCACGCCAGCCAGCTGGCCCAGGGGCCACACGCTCCCAGAGCCAACTCACCCCTAACAGAGCACCTGCACAAGCCCATGGAATCTGGACAGGGCTTGGGCAAGTTTTTTTATCCTTTATCAATTATGTGGAGAAATCTGACTCACACCCCATTGTAGCAGAGTCCCTCAAGACTCAGCCAACAACTCTGATCCCTTTGCGGGGCAGGTTCAAATATTTGATAAAGACCAAGAGATGTAATAGTATTAAAATCTCAACTTTATTTGGCCGTCAAATTCAGTACCAACCAATGTTATTGTAGCAGAATGCTAAGAACCAGGCTGATGCAGCTCAGGCCTTTGAGGCACTCCCCCAGTCATGTTCCCAAACCCCAATAATTGCAAATGTCCTGTTTGATCTGTTGTATCAGGCCCTCCCCCACCACCCACCTGCCAGGTCAGCCCACCCAAAATAATTCATAGAAAGGGATCGCAAGTCTTGCCTTTGATCAAAAGGATGGAGACGCTGCTGGTGAGCCAGTGGCCATCTCCACCCTCAGAGCCTGCCACAGCCAGTGCACACAGTATTCCACCCTTCCAGGTATTTGGAATTGTCATCTCCAAGTGTCTTAAAGCAGAGGGGAAAGGAACATCTGGCCACCATGAAGAGAAGCACCTTCACATACACCTTTCCCCAGGAAGCCATCAGCCCTCTGCCCCTACAAATACTGAAGGCCCACCCCAGGGAAGAACAGCTGAGGCTATTACAGACCCTGCCAGGTGCAGAAATCAATTATGGGCTTTAGTTTTAAAAGAAAAAAAGAAAAAAGCTTTCTTGGAAGATGTTAGTGGCAAGGCTCCAGACTGTCAGGCCACTGAACTCCTGGTAACACCTCACAACCTCCTGCTGCCCAGAAGAACAGAATACTCCAGACAAAAGCTGTGTACAAAAAAGTACATCACAATAAAAAAAAGAGCCCAGCTGGCTGGGCTGGCTCCCTAGTGACAGCTCCCTTCTCAAAAGCCAAAAGAAAGAAAAGTCAAGTGTACAGACAAGTGAGGGTAAAGTGTTACTTTAAAAGCCAATCCCTGGATTTCCAGTCATTCACCTTCTGCTTTAAATCTTAATGGGTTTCTGACTCCCTGGCTGCATCACAGCAGCCAATTTAGTGTCTGATTTTTTGGGTGATGTAGATCAGTCTTCTCTTTACAATTCATCCTTTTGGAGTTTCTGCTCATCCTCATCACCTTCCTCAAGGTCCGTCTCTTCATCCGTCTCCAGGTCCTCCAGATCCTGTGGGGGTTACAGACAGCTCCTGGTTTCTGGCACGTGAGGCAGATCCAGAACCAAGCACAGAGCTGCAGCTCTCATCTGGTCACTGTCCTCTGCTGCCACGTTAACAAAACATCCAGTGAGGAGCTTCCAACTAGATACACTGGTATGTAGCACTGATCCCACAGCCCAGTTCCAGGTGCTGAGCAGGAGTTCCCTAGGGAACAAGCCCTCAGTGCCCCAGCAGTGCACAACCCCAGCGCTGCTGCTTCACACACCCACTGGGTGCTCTCTGGAAAAGGAGCCCATTGCAGGCTCACAGCCAGCCAGGCAGCACCTGAACAGGTCACACTGTGGGCACTTTTGTTCACCAGCAATATCCTCTCCTGCCACATAACAACCCAGGATCTTACTTAGGACCGAGGATTCGGGCACAGCACCAGATCTGACCTGTGCTCAGTGTTCCCAAAGCCCAAAGTGCTCCATTCACATTACTCACATCATCAGCTGCTGCCCCATCCTGACCTCCGCTCTCCAGGAATTTTTTGAAGCCTTCTAACGTCCTCTCCCCATTATAGTCAATGACCTACAGAGGGAAAACATGAGGATACTGGTTATGGGCACTACTGACCCACGCCCCTGGAGAGGAGAATTCTCTTTCTGAGCAACAGTGAACATGCCAAGCAAAAGGGAATTGAAAAATTCACCTTCACCCATATGAGACGAAGGAAAACAGCTCAGCCACTAGACTTCAGAGATCACTGCGAGGAAAGAATAGCCTGCAGATGAGCACACTGTCCTCTATGCTCCCTCTTCTCCCCATTCCCACTTCCCACCCCCCACAAAATCTTTCCCTACAGCACAGCCCCCCATAAAGGGTCTCGGGTGTCCTGTAGACTTGGTGTGTTCTATCCCAACAGAATGCAGAGCCCTCCCAAAGGCCTTGTCCAAGACACAGCTCAAGCAGGCAGCTGAGCATTCCCGTGCTCCCTGGCTATGTGACCACACGAGCTCGGCTCCTGCTTACATTTCTGCCAGAGCCTGCAGGGAAGAACTTGAGTGTGGGGAAGCTGTGGATTTTCACTGCCTCCACTTCATTAGCTGTTGAGTCCATCTTGGCAATGACAATGTTCTCATGGTCCCTGTAGATCTCTCCCAGCTTGTCCCAGATTGGAGCCAGCTGCTTGCAGTGACCACACCATGGGGCATCTGTTAATTACAGAGATAGAGCTGTACCAACAAACTAATGAGGTACCACCCCTTCCCAGCCAGACAATTCACACACATCTTTGCAACCAAGGCACTGCCTTTGGGGCCTAGACTCTGCAAAATGCTTTCTCCCTAATCATGGTCACACAGTATTTTGGCACTCCTTTCACACACCAGTTACTTGGAATCAGCTGTAGGAAGATACTCACAGAACTCTACAAAGACATTCTTATTCTCATCAAAAGCTACTTCTTCAAAGTTCTTCCCAACCAGAACTTTGACAGGGTGCTTATCCCAGTCTTCAGGAAGATCTTGACTCATCAGGTGGGGCTAGAATAAGAAGTGAAATTCAGAGATTATTTACTGCTTGGACTGAACATGTGATCACATATCCTGGAAAATCCAGGTTTAACCACCCCCTGGCACCTCTGCCACAGGCTGTGAGCAACCAGATGAACTGGTCACTTCCTCTTCTCCCACAGAAAGTCTTATTCGCACCCTGACCCAGTGGGAATAGCAGGTGCTGTTGTGCAGAGAGAAGGCCAATGGAGCTCTGCAGGAAGGAAGCAGCACTGCTGACAGCCCCATTCACAGGGGACTGGGCTTTGCTGCACCCCCACAGCCCCTCCAGTGGGCAGGCACAGACAGCTCTTTAGACTGTGCCATATAACTCACACCTTCCACAGGCTCTTGGCAGAAAGAGCAGCTGGAGAAACAGCACAGTCCCCACGGGCAGAGCACAAGAGCTCAGCTGTACCAAAGTGCCAGTACCTACAGCCTCCATGCCCCAGCAGCTTTGCCCTTC